TATGGTCTTCTGTGATTGATTGAAATGAATTAATAAATCAAAAATACATGTTGAAGTACGTTTACTGGCAGTCACACAGCAACAGCAAAGTGTTAAGACATTTTTGGCCTGGTAAGCCTTCAGCAGACCTTCTTGCTATTTAATAACATACTGTATTTCTTATCTTGTCCCCATCCTATCTTTTGTGCCCAACACATACTAGTTTGAGTGATGCTCAGATAATATGAATCCTGGAATATGTCTAATGTTTGTGTGAAATTTTTTTATAACTCTGTTTAGATCAAACTTTAAAAATGATATCTGTCAAAAGGAAATAGCTTTCCATCACAATCTCATTTAAATGTACCCACAGTTAAAGCACATTTATGGTAATATGGAAATAGAGGTGATTCTGTGGCGATGCTGTGGCTCTGAATACCAACTGTGTTTGGAGCTGAAACAAACAAAGAGATGACCTTGACAAATGAAGGGTCATCTTGTTTGCTCGGAGAAGGGTAAAAGTTAACATCTCCACCTGCCAGCTAATAATTAAAAAATAAATGTAGAAATTACAGTCATGCCTGAGTGTTTTTTTGAACCTGTTTAAATTTTGCAGGCCACACAATGAATCAGACATCAGGTAAAGCAATTAACAAGGAGAGACATTATGGTAATGAGAGCGTGGAGCTTGTAAGGTCACACTGTCTTTGTGCATGTTAAGCCATGACTCAGGGCAGGGATTCTCCACCACCAGATTAATTGAAGGCAGTATAAAGGAATGAGGAGCAGAATTAGTTTACTTGATTTGTCACACACAGACATGCTGAAAGAAAGACAGCAGTCTGTGGACCAAACTTCATGGGTCTATACATGCTGAAAGAAAGACAGTAGTCTGTGGACCAAACTTCATGGGTCTACTTGGGGCTGAGGTAAGAAAAGCTGCACTAACGACCAACATAGTGCAGCACTATGTTGGTCATTAGATTCACTCAGCCTAGTAATCCAGGCTGCCTGACACTGAACTACCTATGGCCACAGAGACGCAGACTCTCTCTTTCTTCAGCTCACCCCTCCACATGCCACGGTTACCCTGCCACGGCTTATGTAAATATCACTGTCTGTCTGATGTGCGATTGCCAGCACCACCTCCATGACCTGATTAACCTGACTGCCAAGCTGCCTCCACCAGCTACATCTGACTTCACCTGCCTGAATGCTGAAATTTGCAGTTTCAGTTTCTATCTAAATTAAAATTTTCCACACCGTTCAAACTGCTGAGTGGTGTAGTGGTGTGAGAAAGCGAAGCCTCTGGACTGCTCAGTGCAGTCTGTCACCATCTGTGAGTTAATGACATAAGTTATAGCACATCAGCAGTTCACTACTTAAGCACACAAAATCGTAAATACAGTGCACAAATGAAACCGTTATTCAAATGTTTACGGAACCTTTCACTATGTCAATATGCATTAGTGGCTGACTTATTGGCATTTGTCTAATTAATCAATCCCACCTTCAAACCCATATCCCATTAATTCACTGATGTGTAGGGTCACTGCACAGCAGCCGCTGGTCCAAAAATACCCAACTATCTTGGCTCACAAGATGATTCTACATTGCAGAATGGAGTAAGAGAGATAAACATAAACAATGATGAGAGAGACTTTTTATTTTTCCACATTTCCTCTTCTTGGTGTAGACTTAAGACATCAAATTGACTCTAGGACTCAATAAAGCAGCCCGTGCTGGAAGCTAGCAGCTATAAATGCACTCTCTTAGCTTTTTGGTTTTTGAAAAGGTCCAGTTATTACACACGCAGTCCATTTCAAGTCTCAACTGGGAAGCAGTATTGATTAAGCCACAAATCCAGCAAAATGGGCTTAAACTGCGTAACACCCTCTCTCCAATATCAATGACTCAGCAAGATCTCACTGCTTAGCAAAAAAGGGCATCTTTTATTCCCCAGAGGTAAGCCACTGTTTTCAATCAGCAGCCAACATGTTGCCACTGCTTTCCAGCTGGAATCAGACCAAGTGGCTACACTGGCCTAACGTTTAACACCTCAACAGTTCTGAGAATAAAATACAAGGGGTCTCATTTTGTTTTTGCCTTCCCTTCACCCAGTTTCTGTCCTTCTTCTTCTCTTTTTCATTTCTCCTCATCTAATTGCTCTTCCCTACTCCATTACTCTCTTTACCTTCCCATTCCTTCTCTCTGGTGGGTTGACGTGTTTTGGCAGACTTCCCAAATAAGAAAGTGGTATGGAAGCTGCGTGAAGGAACAGTTATTTCAGGCATTGTGCTCTGATCAGAGAGGTTTCAGCTCACAGTGGCAGGGAATCTTCTTCTCACACCTGGGGCTCACAGCCCAGTGTACCAAGATTTCCCATTTGATTCCCTCAGGACAACTGGAAAGTTACAGTAAGTGCA